AAGAACAGAAAAGGGCGGAGTGGGTGGGTTCTTTTGGGCACGGCCGATCGGCTCGTGCCAAAATGGCCACGGATAAATGGCCTCAGGGCAGTTCTTACGATCGCAAAACTGATCCCCCAATTCCAGACCTACCTAGCCGATAATTAGGAGACATATATATATATATCTATATATATATATATCCATGCGCTCTTAAGGAGTGCTTCCATCAGTCCTCTGCATTCTCCAGGTCCACTTGCACACCTGTGCCCTTCATTGCCTCTCGCATCATCCGTAATGCAGCCTGCACGGACATGTTGAGCTACCAAAACTCTTTGCACTGGAAGGAAAACGGCCGTTCCCGCAATGCCTCGCCTGCTTGGACAGCGGCGGCAGGAAGCTTGCGTAACCCGACAGTGCTGCCTGTGCCGCCTCGGTGGCATCGGGCCGCGCCTTAAGCCGCCGCGAGACGTGCAGGAGCTGCCGCATGCTCAACACAAGTGGCTGCAGCGCAACGTCCGACTTGGCTGCAGCGCGCAGGGCTTTGCCGTAGGCCAGCAGTCCCTTCAGCACTGGGTGCTCGAGTGGCAAGCCACAGAGTTGCGTCACAAGCTTGGCTTGTTGCGAGGCTGGCAAAGGTTTCACCTGGGTGCATGACAATCCTTGAAACGCTATGCTCTATTGGAACACCTCCTGGCCTTGCGGCCTGCTAATCCGTACTCTTAACAAATGCATGTATACATATACTCGCAAACCGGCCTCGCAGAAGTGGAAGAGTGTCAGCAGCTCATCATCCAACCAGGAGCGATCTTTGTCTTGAGGAGGCTCAGCGGTAGCTATCACTCGGAAGGCTCGATGTACGGGTCGAAAGCCTTCATCGAGGAGAGTAGCCGCTGACCAGCCCTGATCCAACCACTGATCCCACTGCGCCTTGTCACCAGCATCTTTTGAATTGTCGGAAGTCTGCAACTAGATCTAAGAGATCCACTGAAACATCTGCAGAAGCCGACAGGAGGGTTAGAAATCCCACTGACTCACGGCGTCCTGGAACTATGTGATTTGGGGTTAAATTTGAGAGCTCCAGCAAGAGCCCTGCTATTGGCCCAATCGTACACCAAGAGCCGAGCGCAAAGCTCAAAGGCGCAGACTCTCTAAGGGCTCATATATATATTTATTTATTTATTTATTTTTTTAGTTATTTTTTTAGTTATTTATTTATAATTATAATTATACATATAAATACATAAGTAAATCTATATATATATATATCTCTCTCTCTCTCTCTCTCTCTTTCTTTCTTTCTGCAGGGCGTAGGGGTCGGTTGTCCCGCTCTCTCTCTCTCTCTCTCTCTCTCTCTCTCTCTATCTATATCGGTACATGAAGCGAGGTCCCAAAATTCTTCCAAGATCGCAGAACCGATTCGTGAATCTACAAGCAACTTCGGATCCCTGGATGTCCACCCTGGCCTGCTGGACGATCCTTGTCCCGTCTGGTAATACGGCCTCACGGTCGCAGAGGAGACGGCCGACAGAACCAGCCAGGGCACCCGGGCTGAGGCGGTGGATGCCATCCAAAACAGCCAAGCCTGGCGAGGAGGTAAAGGTGTCCGTCAAGCTCTGGTTTGGTGTCGTTTTTGAAGATTGACGGAAGTTATGGCAGATGATATGAGTTATGGGGACTATCAAGCTGATCGCTTCATCAATCGGAAGATCCAAACAGGTCGATTTGAGAGACTTGTTAATGAAACTGTCGTCAAGAGTGTCCAACCTCCTTCCATGGCAGCCTGTGTGAGTGGTGAGGGCTGCCATATCGTATTGCCCCGGTCGTCGGTGCTGCGACGCAGAGTCAAATCCCGTGCAGTCATGTCCTGTCAAGCAAGACCAATCATATTTGTTGCTTAGCGGACACAGTGCCTGAGTGCCTGCAAGAAAGTATGCAGAGAGCTTTCAAGACGCATGAGATTGCGCATTCGTTGGTAGAGTTTTGCACCAGCAGTGTCTGATGTGTCACGTGGCGAGATGCTGCTGATGTGCGGGGTCCTTGAAGCAAAAAACGCTGTACGTACGGTAGCCCAGGGCTTCAGCAAAAGCACGGCACAGTACGGTTTTGCCCACGCCTCGCTCCCCCACGAGGCAAATGTCCATGCCCACAGCATGATCGCGCAAGAGCTGCGAGAGCAAAGCTTGTTGCATGGGGGCCAACCGTGGCATCTCCCCCGTGTTTCGAGGGCCACTCACCGCAGGGGCAAGCAGCAGTGCAGTCCCCTTGCCCCGTTTGGAACACGAGCCGTGCAGAGCGGTCCTTCAGTCGGACCAAGATCGGCTGAAGACGGCTGAACAAGAAAACAAGCTATGTCTACAAAATCAACAAAACTGAAGAGGTGTTCGATTGGATCCGGGCACGAGAGGAAACTGTTCGATGCTCTTCAGGCCGTACCCTTGCCTGTCTGGGCCAGGCAACTCAAGATTCTGTAGCTTCAGAGCTGATTGCACTGCAGAACGTTGAGCGCTGCTCAGCTGCAGCAGCGTCCAAGGGAAGGCACTGTGGAGAGCTGCTGCTTGGGGTAGCGACGGGAAGAGTTGCATCAAGTTCATCACCGAGATCAAGCCAAACTCTGGAAATCGCGGAAGCCTGGCGTGCTTCCCACTGTTGGCCGCCCTCCACAAGGCCACCACCTCCGTGACCTTCTTCATTGCATGATCACCTTTGGGCTGGAGTGTGGGAGTGTCTCGGATATCAGCAGCAGGAGTGCTACCAATCTCAGCAGAGTGTAGAAGACACATTCTTATGGCAATGGGCTAGGTCACGTCACCTTCGGGACTTGTTACGCATATCCAATTGGGAAATTTGTCCACCTCCAACCTCCCGGAAATCTGGTCCCTGTGTCCCCCTCCACTCGCCGTGCAGCGAAGCGGGACCTCAGCGGCGGATCCAAGGCGATCCCAGGATAGGTCGGTACAGGTAAGCCAATTGCGATGGCCAGGAACTTCCTGAGCTTTCGGGGCAGGATTCGAAGTTGGACCCGAGGCTTCCTACTATCGCCTTCGATATAGTTTTATCCCTGAGCTGCAAGAGCGACAGGTCTGGCCAGGTCTCCTGGACACCGGCAGCAGTTGCCGCCCACCACTTGACCGGATCTCCTCCTGCCAAGCCAAAGAGCAAAGCTTTTGCACGGCTTTCCTTGGCTTCAGTCACTCCTCGCGGCCCGGTGCCATCAGAAAGCTGCCATCCTCTAACGTCATCTCTCGGTTCTCCTGATCGGAGAAGGGCTTCGGACTCGTTTCATTGTGCTTCTAAAATTTCTAAACCGAAGTCGACACTCGGCAGCCAAGTCTCGAGAAGATTGTTGAGCAAGGGCAGGATGTTTCGCTCGGCCTTCGGGTAGAAGGCTCATGTGCGGGGCAATTCCGTAAAGCCGTAAAGCGTCGTAAGGCAAAGACTGTGTACACCCTGCATGTGGCTTCACGCTGATTCTCGCGTCTATGTCAAGCCTTTAAGCCGTAAGCAATTAAAATTTCTTGCAACAGCCCACATCTTCACATCGAGTTTCAAATGACCACAATGAGGATTTCGAACCGGCACCTAGCCCCTGCAATCCTCCAACACGCCAGACAAATTGAGTCCCCGTGTTGTGGAAACCAGCCAGTGGCGACTCAAGTCTCCCTACTCTTGGGGCAGTCAAGATACCAAGCCAGGAGACAATCGCTTACTTGCTGCAGGGTATTGCTGTGTCTGCCGTGCCGTTTTATCTACTAGCCTGTTGGCTTGTAGCGTATCACCATCAAAGCGCATGAGGAAAAATCAAGAAAGATTGTGGGAACCGGCGAGTGAAGGATCGGGCAGCAGATTGGAGGTGCTTGCGTTTGCCAAGGAGAGCCATCAACTTGTTCAGCCTTCCTGTCCAATGCCGGGCGAGATCCGGTATTCTCTGTGCGTGTGTGTGCGTGAACTATGAAATTGAACTGTCATCGAACCTCTGTTGCATTCCACTGCTCCGGTTTCTTCACTCGACAACACGTGACAGCACGAAGGCGAAGGCTGTGGAATGAAGTCTTCTTCGCTTCAGCCAAGATGCGTTGGCTTGGCGCAAGAAAGTGCTGTCAATTCCAATCGATACTAGTATTCAGCACGTAGAATACCGACGACAGTGACGTATGCGATGACGACTGTCGCCTGTGATACCTTCAGTTCTCCTCCCTGCCTAGAAAGAGAGCCATTATGGTAATTCGTCATGGCAGCCTTGTGCCGTCGTTCTGAGCCAGAAACTATCTTTTATCCCGAGCTGGTGGGGTGTGGGCATGCAGTCAGAAGCAAAGAAAGAGCGCGTGTGCTCTGCAAGACTCTTCAAGGAAAAGGCCATGAGGACCGAGTAGGGCCAGAACCAGAAGACTTAAACCAACTCCTTGCTACGGCTGTCTCGAAGCCCTGAGCTCGTTCTCTGCCGACCGGCTCGGGAACAACCGATGGGTATCAGAAGCCAGAAGCTCATCAATGATTGCAGTTCCAAACGACTGAAGGCTGTTTGCTATTTCATCCCAGCATATCCCAGCCTTCTGCACACCTTCCAGAATCAGCAGCCTGCCCTTCAGAGCCGCTTCCACGGCCGGGGCATTGTGAAAAACCTGGATGTCGATCACTCGCATAGCCGACATAACAAGACATTGCAGGTTCAAATCTATATGCATGGCCAATGGGACGGCAGGTTCGTGTGAAGGGGTTGCGCTAGAGTACGCGGTTTTTCTCCAACAAGCTTTGCTACAGATCGGGAACACTGGTTTTCAGCAGACAGATGAACTGCTAGAACCTGCTAGACAGAAACCAGGAAGCCAGCTGCCCATTCGAGATCTCGCGGCGTTGCTTCAGGTCAGCTTCCGTCGTGTCTCTTGTTATGCCGATGTACTCGGTTTCTCTGCCCGTCTGTGCGGCAAAACGCAGTGCAGCATTACGAAGATGGGGTCCGGGATCTCCTATCAAAAACATGTCCTGTCCCAGGTAAGCCTTTTGCGCCATCCACTGTAGCAAATCCTCATCTGAGGCTAGCATCGAACCCCGCACAGGAGGGACCGCAGGCACCCTCAACCTCCGGGCTGAGGACATTGCGAAACTTGTCGGGATTCTGTGTTCCGCTTTAGGTTCTGCAGCCAGCTTCACGATTGATCTTTCCGGTGACCGATCGGCTTCTGCTTCGCCCTCTGAGGACGCCTCTTCGAGCAGTGACTCAAGAGATGGAGGGCCTCCAACTCCATTGGCCGGAGCTGAGGGTGGCGCTGCACGTGCAGACCGTGCAGATGCCGAGTCGCTCGTCAAAGTTGCATCCAGTTCATCGAAATCGAACATGCTCTCGGCCCTGAGCCAGCTGTCCAAACGTTTGATGGGTAGATCCACAAGTTCGTAAACCCCAAAACCCTAAATCTTGAACGTGTTTTCCTGAACCAATTTCTAAACCGTCCACCCTATCCAGGCGAGGGCGGCGCCCGACCGGGGCCGGCCACTCCCACGCCACGCTTCGAGGCTCACTGCTTGGGGGAGTGCTTGGCTTGGGCCTTGAAGGGCAGCGCCGACTCACTGGAACCTGCGCTGGCTGTTGCTTTTCGCCCGCATTGCCCCGGCGCCGAGTTCACGTTACATCGCCAGTCTCACAGAGAATGGCACCAGTTCGACCTGCAAGTCAAGCTTTTCCATGGTTTCACAATCCAGTCGAGGGGCAGCTTTTAGTGAGGACTCCACCACCCAGTCCTGAAGCACTCTAGGTCTTGGGTCTACAAACCTCCCCGTGATTCCAGAGGATGGCAGTAGAACGTGATAGAGTGGCACTGAGTTTTAGATGCTTCGTGCGCTCCCTTCTCGACTCAGCGCCCCATTAGAGCGCGAGTGAGAAGATACGATCCCATTCTGTCATTTCGGGTACCCCCCAGGTGCTCCCAGGTGCTTCTCTCCAGGAGTTGAGTTGCAGAAGCTAATTTACATGACCACACCGCAGCTTCAGGCAGCAGCGCGCAGCATGGGACCCAGCATCCATGAGCAATCTCCCGCGGAACCGCTTTTCACCATAGCCGAGTTGCAGCTAGCACTGACTAAGCTTAAGAAGAACAAGGCTCCAGCTCCGGATGGGATTACCAATGAATTATATGGCTTTTTGGATTCTGAAGCGGAACTCGCTCTGTTGCAGCTTTACAACGACCTTTTGACCACACCGCAAATCTCAGAAGACTGGTATTTGGCTACTGTGGTTAGTATATTCAAGGGCAAGGGCAGCGACACTGATGCTGCTAACTACCGACCTATCTCGCTACTAAACGCCAGCTATAAAATACTCGCTTCCCTGATCCAAGCTAGGCTTGCCACAACATCGGAACCAAAGCTCCGCTCTCTCAGACCAAAACTTGAAAGCAATCAACGGTCAATACTATAGGTTTCTAAGGCGGGTGTTGGGTATCAAGGCAGCCTACTACTCCAGAATACCGAACGAGGAGGTATGGAATCAAGCAGGCAGACCACACCGCGCGGGAGACCTTCTGAACGCCGCCCAGCACAAGATGCTGGTGGAGGTCTATAGCCATAGCATAGACGACCCGCTGCATAATGTAGTGTTCTGTTCGGCGCTGAAGGACCGCATTATGACACAGGGTCGCAGGAGAGGTAAGCCGATACCGTATTAGTTAAGCACCATCCGCAGTTCAAGTTTGTAGAGCTAGGCCGAACTCTGCGACAAACCCTAGAGAGGGCGCCAAAGCGCGCAAGACAGCGCGCATGGCCCTAGCAAAAAATTTACACGACTCTCCAAAAGCTCCACCAACCATGGCCTTCAGGAGTTGCGACTCATTGCGTTGGTCACGTGGATTCCCCACGAGTTCACCTGGCCGAACATGTTGGTAGATCCTTACCGTTGCCGGTTGGCAAGGAGACATTTGGCTGTTTGTATGTTCGTTGGGTTGCTGACATGCACTACTCCTGAAGATGCACTGAGTTTGGATTCCACGGAGCAGCCTTGTATCCTTTCATGGAGTTTGGGCTTGCGGTTTCTGCGTTTCTACAAAGCCGTCCCCGCTTTGGAGGTGACAGACTTTCGCCACGCCGAGCACTCGCACTCGACATGCAACATGTGTTCTGCGTAAGGTAGTGTTAGTGAGTTTAAGAGTGAATATCTTCCACCTCCGGAACTTTTCGTCAAGAACTTGAGGCTTTCGCCTCCGGTCTCATGCTTGCGAGCCTTCTACCAGCCCAGTGTTAGCTTGCACAACATACCTAGTAGGAGCCAATGCCGTGGAAGGTTTCAACGACAAGAGCAGAGAAATCAACGACTGCAGGACGTTGGAGCCCCAAAACTCAGATTGCACCGATTTGGTGAGAACAGCATACCGAGGTCGGAGGTTGCTTCAGTCTGTATCCCCTTTGCCGATGCCTGCCCCCTCGTGCTGCTGGAGCTTATCTGTACTTCATTGCTGTGGCGAAGCTGCTACCTCAGGCACAGCGAAATTTGCAGGTTTGGGCGGCATCTGCGCATAGTCTGATTCAATTGACTGATGAATCAATAACTGCAGAACATCGAAACTTCAACCCGCGGACCTTTGAAACAAGGCTTTGCCTTGCAACAGCATGTTTCTAGTCTGGAGCACAGCAGCCACGGAATGGCAGATCACAGGCACAGTTACCAAACAAGCTCCACAAGGAGCTCTTGCATCAAAAGCCGAGTCGATTTTGTTGGGGCACCGCAGTTTGCCTGTGGTATTACGCGGCGTGGTATGTGACATGTGATGAATACGACTCCTGCCGTCGTAGAAGAACTAACTTATACCCATACTTGACTGCAGCATCAATCCCCGAATCAAGCCTCTCAGCGTTATTGACTTTTTCATGAGTTGCAGAAAGCCGCAGCACTGCAGATGGGCAGAGTACCGTCCGAACTATGGCACAATCTTCATTGTGGATAAAGCAAGATGCTGTCTCGCTAATCGTCGAAACTTGCTCGCTAGAGTGATACGTTTGTTGTTTCAAGCTGTGGAGCGGCAGCACTGAGAAAATTTCAGTTGGTTGGATTCTCCAACACTACTCTGCTTTCGCAATTCGGGACACTAGTGGCAGTAGTAGTAGTAGTAGTAGTAGTAGAAGTAGTAGCAGTAGAAGTAGTAGTAGTAGTCGTAGTCGTAGTCGTAGTCGTAGTCGTAGT